TCAAAGAAATCTCAAAATTTTCCACAATTTTAAAAATACTAAAAAACTAGATATATATAATTGTCCATTATTTGTAAAGCTATATTTTCTCAAGTAAAATGCTTAAAAACAATTAAGTATATATTTAACTCAATCTCCCAACATTTTCGGACATTCTTTAAAAATTTTGTTAAAATTTTAAAAGAGTAATTTGTATTTAGTAATAAAGTAAAAGTAAAATTCTTCGGACTATTTTGAAGAGGAAGGCCGAAATCAGAAAAAAAAATATTTTAAGCGCTTTAAGTCTTTAAGCGATGAAGGTTTTAAAGCAAAAATGATGGGAGAGAGGGAAGTTTGTTGGGAAGAAAAAAAGAAGAAGAAAATCTAAATAAATATATTTATTTAAAGTTGTTGGGTTGTTGAGTGGCGGTTGGAGCGATTTTAGTATTTTTAATAGTTAAAGACTTGTGCGCGAACATTTTGTTGTAGAGAAGAGAAGGGAAGGGAGGGGGGGGGGGTAATTGACTGACTGGCCAGTTAAAAAAAAAGAAAATTTAAGCAGCGGTCAGTTTATTTAATATTTTTTATTTGAAGAGAGAAAAAAAGGAAAAAAATGATCATCGAAAATAAATTTTTTTTGTAGAAAAAGCTCTTTGTTTTAACCAGCAAAATAACTTAGGTAAATTATTTTCTCAGTTATTGTAGCTTTATTTTAAGAAAATAATTTTTTAAAATTAATTTCTTTAAAAATTATTTTATAAAAAAATTTTCTTTTCTTTCTTTTTGTTGGACTATCAGAATCTGGATATGACCCAAGTAGGCGCAGAGCTATAACTTGCTTCAAGATTTCCGAATCTTATCAACTTTAGTATTAAACGATTCCTCTCATCAAGCTAAAGAGATTGATGCCAAAATTGTTAAGGTCCAGAAAATTTTCCAGCAAGTTATGGCTTTGCGTTTACTTGGCCGCGCGCCTCCTTGGGCGTGTCCATTAGAATCTACAGAAGTTTAGTAAACTAGTATTTTTAATTTTTTTAATATTCAAGATTGATAAGAGTCAATATTTCAATTTGGGAATATTTAAGTGATATTTTTTAATATCTCAAATCTAACCTTTTTTAGTTTTTTTTTTCAATTTAAAATTTAATTTGTTAAAGTGATGAAGCCAAAAATATATTTAAATATCCGTAAATACTCCCCGTAAAATAAAGTCTCAGCCTCATTGGTGGATTTTCCCGCCTCTTTTTTTCCTTTTACAATTTATTAAAGATAACAACTTTAAGAGGAGATAGAGAAGCCTTTGGTTGGGTTTTAAAGAAAATTAAGATTAAGGGAAAGGCGCGAGGAATTTATTTTTTAAAGGCATAATCCTTTCACACAATTTTTTAAAAAATTTTCAAGAAAAGGATAAATAAAGAGGGAATTATGTAAGGACAATTAGGCTGATTGAAAGCTTATTTTTTTGGATTTTCCCGCCTCTTTTTTTAACAAAACTAAAAAGAATACGTAAATAAGTGAAGAAATGAAGCCATAAAAATAAAATAAAAATAATAATATTTTTTAAAATTATTTTTATAAAATTAATTTAATAAAAATTAATTATTTTAAGTAAATATTTGTGAGTCATAATGAGGAGGAGGTAATAAACAAATTTTGCTTTAAAAATTAAAAAAATAAAATTCGAAGAATTTTTTTAAATTAAAGAAGGAATGTTAAAATATAAGTTTAAAAACAATATAATTTCTCCTTTTATTTTAAAAATAATTTTACAAAAATTAATTAATTATTTTGAAGCATTTCGTGCTTTTTATTAAAAACTTGTTTATAAATAAATTTTAAAAGTTTATTTTCTCTCCCCTTTTTATTAAAAAATAAACTTAACAAAGAAATTATTAAAATAATTTTAAATTTTTATTTATTTTCTTATTTTTTCCAACTTAATTTTTAAAAATTTTGTATAAATTGATTAGTCTTATATATTTATTTAACATTTAAATAATTATATATTTTGGCTTCTTTTAAAAGAAAAGAAACCTTCTCGTCTTCTTTAACTTTTAATGCTTCATTTGTTTAAAGCTTAGTTATTAAATTTGTATTTTATTATTTAAGTTTGTTTCATTTAAATGAGAATATTGAGAGAAAGAAAGGGAAAACTTTTATCTTTCTCTCATTTTATTAATTTAAAAACTTTTTTTGTTCATTAAAAAAGGAATTGAGATATCTATTCATTATTTTATCTCATAAATTTTAAAAAGTTTAATTTTTGTCGACGCTAATATTAGCTTTCCGGCGCTGTAAACAGAATTTTTTAAAGTAATTTTTGTGGTACAACATACTTTACATACTTTAGTATGTTGTACCACAAAAATCACCTTAAGAAGCCGGAAAGCGAATATTAAATGCCAATAAAAATCAGAATTAAGAGCCATAACCCTGAACATTTCAAAAAAACCGTAAGCGGAAAATCCCGGAATTTTCGTCTGCAATGCAAAAAAGAGGAATTTTAGCTTCATAGCTTCCTAAAAATTCAGAAAATATTTTTATGGATGGGCTAGGTTGCTTTACTTAATTCAATTTAGTATTTATGTGTTCGTCATCTTTTGACTTTATCAAAAATAATTTTTAAATTATTTATTTCCTTATATTTGTACCATTTCTGATTAATTTCATATACAATTCTTGATTAAAAATACATAAACTTACTTTTTATTATCACATCAAAACCTTTCTTTTTCTTCATTTATAGGCGCAGACTGATAACAATTTAATTATCGAGAATATATTTAAATACTTTATTTTATTAATTTTTTAAAATTAAGCGGTCTTAAAATAATTTAAATTTTTTTCTGAAATTAATTTATTAAATTTAAGTCTTTCTTTTCCCTAATTTTTAAAATTAATTTTAATTTTATTCTTTAATTTCCAAATTATTTTTCTACTCAAAGTTTTGACATTCCTTTTTTATATTTTTCATTCTTTATTTTCTACAAACTCTAAACAATTTTCTTATCAGTCCGCCTGATGGACTTAATATTTATTTATTAAGTCCCGAGAAATATATATTAACAAACTTCCCATTTATTAACAAACATTTTACTTAAAAAAAAGAAAATATTTGGGCATTTCAATGATATGTATTTTCTTTTTTTATTTTTAATTACTTTTTCTCATTTTATTAAAAAATGCTTTAAATTATTATTTTAGATAAGCATTAGGTATTTATTTAACAAATAAAAACATTTAAAGAAACAAAATAATATTAGAATTTTTACTGTATTTAATTGAAAACATCATCCATTTTGAGTTACCTTAAATTATTTTCTTGGTATCTACCTGCCCTCAAAATGTTGATTTAAATCTATCTATAAATCTCTTATTGAGATCCAAATACATATAACTTTTTTAGAACTTTAAATGAAAATGGATAATTAAACAAATTCTGTTATAAAAAATATATTTTTTAATCCATTTTTGAGAATTCCTCCAAATTTTTACAATACCCACAGTAATTCTCTCCTTTACATCCCGCCTCCTCAAAAGCATTTCCAGGATAGCAAAAAAAAACTTTATTATATGCGAATATCCTCTCCCTTTAACTTTTATTTCTCTCTTTTCTCTCTTCTCTTATTCTCACATACATATTCCAAATATATGTATTTTAATTTTAATAATTATTTAATATTAAATCCCTCTCCCAAAAAATCTATTTACTTTTTTGACAATTTGAAGCTAAAAGATTTTTAAAATTAATTAATTAATTGCTCTTATAAAAATTATTTATTCACTAAAAATACCTAGTAAGAGTATAATTTTGGGATATTTATGTACCATACATATAATATTTAATAAAGAATCTGATTTATTTTCGTTAGCTTTATTTGGTTTGACGTTTAAAGATGTGTCTATTCAAAATTAAGTTAACTGGCCAAAGGTTTTGATTTCTGTCCTGATTCGTGGACAATAGTATTGTGCTCAAACAATCAGTTTATTCCAATATATCTATTCACAAATACATACTTCTATTGCTTTTCGACAACCTGTTGGTGAAATTTTATATTTATTTCTTAAGCATCTTCAATATATTATTTATTAAAATAAAAAATAGTATTTTAATTAGCTAAAACCCTTTAATATTTTCGCATAGAAATTTTTTTAATAAAAAAGCTAATAACTATATTTTATTAAAATAAACTTTTTTTAGTACATCATCTAAAAAACAGCTAAAAACTATTTATAAATATTTAATAAACATATTACTCATCTTTATTTCCCAATTTTTATTAACTTTATTTATAAAATATTTTAGTCGTTGAATTATACAACATTCCTTTTTTTAACTTTTCCAGTGCTGAATATTTTTTTTAAATTTAATTTTCTAAACTAGAATATTTTTTTTATTTATAATTACTTTTCTTTATTTAAAATTTTTCAATTTTAAAAGCAAAATATTTCTGAAAACAAGGCTCTGGTCTATACGAAAAGATTTCTTTTAAAAAAATATTTAAAAATTCACTTAAACTTTAATTTTTAGTTGAAAACATTTTCTAAATCATCAATTTTTAAAAGCATATTCCCACACTTAATAGTTGCTGTTAAAAATATAGAAAAGTAATCCCGACATGCTTTAGAGCATGACATTTCTAAATTAAGCTACACTTAACAAAAGTTTTACCCAACTATTTATCGTAACTCTTAAAAATAGGTGTTTTTAACAGTTTACAATTTTAAAAATATTCTAAAACTTTTAAATAATATTTTCGATTAAAAATAAAAATAATTTTTAATTATTCTCTCATGTTTATTTAAACTAATTTTTCTATTAAAATTCTCATTTTAACCAGCCTTTACCCAAAAAAAACCAATAAAACCTCATCCTAAACCTCTCCCAAACACTAAACAATGAATGCCGCTATTATTTAGAAAATAAATGGGAAGGATTAACTCGGCATTTTTCCGATTTGCCAAGGCATTATTGCCTAGTTTGATGAACGCCTGCTAGGCAAGCTTAGGCCTTAAGGCAAGCAGGAAGAGAAAAAAGAAGGCAATCGGCAAACTGGCGGATTTACTGAACAGAAAGGCATATAAATTTTTATATTATCTACCATTTTGTTAAAAACCCCACCGACTTTTCTCTTTTAATTTTTGCGTTGTTTTGGAGCTTTTTGTGGGGGGGAGAAGATGGCATTTGAGTAGGAGAAAGCTTTGCGGGCCGACTTAATCCCCTGGCGGGAAATGGCCGCTTGGCCGTGAAAGGAAGAATAATAATAAGAAAATTGAAGAAAAAGTGGAGGAAGAAGAAGAAAAGGATGGAAGAAGAAAAAGTTAGGTTGGCGAGTAAAGTAAAATAAAGTGAAGGGGAGGGATTAGGCCCGCACCAGGCTTTTGGGTCTCTTCACTATATTTTTGTGTAAATGTTAAAGTGGGGGTATAGAGGCGGAAAATGGCACAAAAAGGCAGGAAATGGAAAAAACTGTTTGAAGGATGCCGGAAAATATTAGCAAAATATTATGGACATTATTTAATGACAATTGGTGTTAAACAAACTAAGTAATATATTTTAAGTGGCATTTAAAGTAAAGAAAAAGTAAATAATATTGTATTCAATGTTAAAGGAAGCATAATATTGTTTATAACATTTTTTAATTTTAAAACTGATAATGACAAAAATATAAGTTAATATTCGTTTATCCTATAATGATTACGAATAATTTTTGAATAGGTATTTTAAAAATTTTGCGTGGCCAGAAAGGTAAATTAGTTTTGTGGAGGCTTTTCCAAATTTAAGACATAATGCTCGATACAATTAAATAAAAATTAAGAAGATGCAATTAATTTCGCTTAAAATACATCTCGATCTCACACAATTAATGATTCAATTGAATCATTCAACTAATTGTTCTTATAAAATAATTTATAAATAAATTTAGATATTGTAAAAATGAAAAGATATTAAAAAATTAAAACAAAATACATACAACAATAAATTCATAAAATTAAATTTTACAAAAATGATTAGTAATAATAATTCAACAGAACCAACCCCTTCATCTTCTTCAAGTCAGCATATTTCATTTAAAGATTTGTGTAAAAGTTTAATAAAAGAAGAAACAAATTTTGAGGAAGGTAGTGATAACAATAATAATGGATATTTAATGGAGAGAGAAGGTGAGAAAAATCCGGTTTACGGGCCCAGAAAAATGATTTTGCCGGGCACTACATTTATCTATTCAATTAAATCCACTTTAGGCTCTCCAAATTCAAAACTACAATTAAACGACACTGAACAGCCCCAACAACTATTTTCTCAACACCTTCCCCAATTCCCAATATCCCTATCATCAACTAACCCTTCAGCTGCAGCACTTTTCCCATTGTCTGCAGCAAGTTTATTTAGTTTATTAGAAAATGGATTTGAAAGAACGCCAAACGGAGAGGAAGAAAACACAACGCCAATCGAAAATTTAAGTAATTCTTCCTTTGAAGTTAGAGAAAGAAATGAATCAGAATTTGTTTTTAACAACAATGAAAGTATTGAAACTGTTGTTAACAACAACTTTTCTAACAATAATAACAGCAACATTATTAGCATAGCTAATAATGAAGATAATACCCTTTCTAATATTTTTGGTATTCCCCAAAATTCTTTTAATGGAGTGACCCCAATTGATCAAATTTTACAAATTTCTAGACAACTTTTTGGTGATAATATTGCTAAACAACAACAATTAAATAATAATTCTAATAATATTATGGGAAGGAAAGGGGGAAATAATGGGTCTAGTAATGGAAGACAAGAGGAAAACAACACAAATACACTGACTGCTTCAGACAGGAAAAGGGTAAATTGTTTAAAAAAATGATTCAGACTTGGATTTGATCGGGGTTTTAAAGTATTCTTTCAGTTTTTCTCGGATTTATTTGAATTTTATCCCCGATTTTCTCAGGATTTCAAAAAATTTTTAATTTTTACTAAATCCAAGTCAACAAATGATTTTTCGAAAATCATTATATTTAATTTAAATTTTTAGACATACCCTTATACATTCCAGTTTTGTGTGCTTTGTCAAAAGAATGTCCACAGCAGTGGGTTATTTTAAATAAAAATCTCTCATATTACTTAATATAGAGGGCAAAGACTTTATTAAAAGATCATCCAAAATTACGAGAATTTTTAAGTATTTTAATGATTACTTTATAAAAACTTGTAAGAAAATATGCAAAAAGGGCAGATAATTATTTTGGCCTTTCCCCTCGCATTTAAAATTTCTACAATTCCACTCAATCTACTTTAATTTTTAGGTAAACTTCCTTGCCATATTCGTCAATGCCACGTGGGTAAACCAATGTTTCAATGTCCTGTTTGTGACTTTACTTCAACATACTCTAAAAACAATGTCAAAAGCCATATGGTTTCTTTACATGGAATGGCTGTATTTATTTTGTTTTTTAATTAAATACCCAAATTTTATTTTAGGGCGACCCAATCAGTTTTATGGACGCATATGCTGGTCAAGTTGATGATTTTATGAAAAAATGTTTTCCGAATGTTCGGGGTATTTTTAATATTTAAATTAATTTTATTTAAATAAAAAAATTGGCAATCCCGGAGAATTGGGGTCCCTGCGAAAAAAAAGTTTAAAAATAAGAAAAAGGATTTTTCTAGGATAAAAAAATATGCTGATTACGAATCCGAGCTCAGATTTTGAAAAAGTCGAATCCCGAACCCGAACCAAATTTCGAACCCTGAACCCGAATTTCGAAAATGCATATGATAGCTCGTTCGAAAGAGCTCGGCGATCTGCATCGAATGACACCAAAATTAACGTGATTGGACAAGTTTAGACAAAGTTATGACATAAAGTATACCTATGGGAGTACTGTAGGAGTCGGCGTCTTATGTCATAACTTTGTCAAAACTTGATCAATCACTGTAATTTTGGCGTCATTCGATTCAGCTCGACGAGCTCTTTCGAATGATCTATCATTTGTAAAAACTTTTTTTACTCCAAAAAATCACCCATGTGGTTTTTCAATATTTAGGGGTCTGTATCTCGGTTCAATCCGGTCGGATTTCATTGATTTTGGTGTCATTCGATGCAGCTCGATGAGTTCTATTATTCTGTTGAAAGACTGGCCATTTTGTACAATTTCTGATAATGTTAGGGGTCAAAAATCCTGTTCGGGATCAAAAGTCCGAATTCGGGTTCAGGATTCGACTTTTTCAAAATCTGAGCTCGGATTCGTAATCAGCATATTTTTTTATCCTAGAAAAATCCTTTTTCTTATTTTTAAACTTTTTTTTCGCAGGGACCCCAATTCTCCGGGATTGCCAAAAAATTTTTTAGGCCGTGGCCGTCCAGTTCATGGACGTTTTGGCAGTGCCAGTAATATTAGTGAGCAACCAGCACCTTCAAAAACCTGTCAAAAGAAGCAACAAGCTTTTAAACAAAATATTTTGGGAAGTCCAGGGGGAGATACTGTAGTCTCCTCTGAGGATGCTGCCAGCATTAGAGATGGTGGTGGAGGAGGAATTGTTTCTTCTCCGACAAATACAAATGAATTTTGGGCGTTAAATGATGTGAATTGGTGAGAAATAATAAATAAATTTTTACAAGTAATTAAAAAATAATAAATAAAATTACGAATTTGCTTCCTTTTTTATTTCAGGTACGATATTTTAGTTTTTATCCATTGGTTTTTATTAGTAGCCGGCAAAATAGATTTTTTCGGAACTGGATTCAGGATTTGCAATTTGAGCCGAACCCGATCCGACCGGTTTTAATACGGAAATCTCAAAAACCCGGGTTTGGGGTCCGGCTCCGGAAAAATCCGGCCGGATCCGGTCCGGCTTATTTATCTCAAAAGCTTACCATCTTAAAATTCGATTAGAAAATTTTTTTGAAAATTTTAAAAATTACCCATTTGAATTTTGGTTGCTCTAAAAATATTTTTCTTTTTCTTTTTAGTCAAAATTTGGATTCTTCTCCCCCTCCAAATAACAACAGCAAAAATATTATTTCCCGTCGTCGTCAAATGTCTAATTCTGCTTTGGTTGCTTCCACACAATCAAATAACAATAATAATAATATTCAACAAAAACAACATCAACATAATTATCGTAACCGTGTTGGTTCAAATGGGCACAGGTGATTTTTTATTTCAAATAATTAAAAAAAGAAAAAAATATTCCAATAATTATTTTCTCAAAAATATTTTTTTAAATTTTTAGTAATAACACCAACAGCAATCCAAATTCGTATTCTTCAACTTCTCGTTTATTTAATCGCCACAATAAACGGCGTTGTACTTCTCCTTCAAACCAAAAAACAACAATTTTAGTTGAACAACAACCAGCCGTTCCAACAAATTTATTTAATTCTTCTACGCCTTTATTTGGAAATAATGGAGGAGGGGGAATTGGAATTGCTGGAGGAAATGGTGGAGGAGAGGGAGGAGGAGGTGGAGGAATTAATCTTGGTGGAAATTTAAATATTAATAGCAATGAATTAATGGGAGCTGTTTTGGAGAAAATTACTTCAACGAATAATGGGTAAGGCGTAAAAATTAGTAGAGTAAATAAAAAATTTATTAGTTTCAATTTTTTACAGTTCTCAGATTTCCTTAAAATATTTAATTTTAATTTTCTCAGATTTGGATTCAATCCATTTATTTATTTGCAACAATTAAATGGATTCTTCCCAACATTTCAAAATAACGCAACTCCAAATATTGCTTCGTCTAATGTGCAGCATGCTATTAGAAATGCAAATGAAAATAATTGTGCTAATTTTAAGGTAAATTAGTGCATAATTAAACATCTTAAAAATTCTGTTTTCTTGCTTTTTGAACATAATTGGATATTTGCATATATTTAGTTTATCGCTTTTAAAATAAAAATACTCAAAAAATATAAATAAAATAAAAAAAATATTTTAAAATTTTATTTTTTTCCTTCTTAAAAAATAATATGTATTTATTTACTCTATTTTTAGCAAAAAGATTCGAATGGAGAAACTTTTTCTCCATCTTCTATTGGAATTAATACTTCTGAGGGACCTCAAACAATGCTTTTGAAAGAATGCCTTTCAATTAGCCAGAAATTTTTGAAAGAAATTAATGACGGAGAAATGATGACAAATTCGTCTAAAAATAATTTAAATAAAAATGGACATCAAAATAATAAAAAGAAGAGAATTGGAGAAGAAGGAGGGCATATTTATGAGAATTACAATAATTTGGGAAATAACATTGCTGGTATGTTTTAGAATTTATTTGTTTTTTAGTTACATCCTATTTTTCTTGTTCCTTTTTTTCTACAAAAATCCGATTTTTAAAATTTTTAAGTCTATTTAAATAAAATTTATTTATTTTTTTTAAAGACAATCCAAATTGCCATTCTTCATCATCAACAACAGCTTCTCCGTTACCTACAGCAAATTTTCATCATTTAAATACTCTTAACAACAATTTTGACATTCATTCAGAAGAACCTCTTTATTTTCCTCAAAGTCCTGCTTTGTGTAAAATTTTGGAAGGTCCAGGATTGGAAAAGACTGTTTTCAATACTTTTACTTCTTCTAATGAACTTATTGAGGTGTGGAAATTTTTTATATTAAATTTTTGTTTTATTTTAAATTATTTATATTAAAAGGTTGTCCTTCGTATACTTCCAATCCTCTCTCGAAATTATCCTCTTTTTTTGTACGGCTACCCTTTATCTATTTTTGTCTCCCCGCCCTGCTTATGGAATTCTTATTTAACATTAACTGTCTTGCATAATTCTTGTTCGCAAGTTTTATTAGCAATCCTGATACAAGAAGACAAAATATTTTGATCTCTAAAATTTACATTTTTTTATTAGAAATTTGACCTCTCAATTTTTGAACATCTTCTCGAAAAACAATCAATCGCTTCTGGTTCTTTATTAACTCCAGAACACAAAAATCAGGTCTCTAATGTTCGTGCTCAACTTGGATTACAATCTTTTGAAGTTATGTTTGCTGTTCATAGGTAAATTGACTAGAATCTTGAAGAAATCTTTTCTTTTCTAGACTTGATTCAAATATTCTCAAACCTGCCCAAGTCCATTTGGTTGGATGTATTGCCCCAACGAAGTCTGATATTCGTCGTTTTGCTTTATTTGAACAACAACATTCTAATAATAATAATTCTGGAAATATTTTGTTTGATAAAGATGAACAATTTGTTATTGAGGTAAAGACACTTGTTGGATTAATTTGAATAATTTTTTATTGAAAATTTATTAAAAATTTTTTTATTTATTTAAAAATTTGATTATTTTTAGTTATCCAAAATTGAACGTTTACGTGAAAAACTTGCTGTAATGGCTTTTGTTGGTGAATTTAATGAACGCTTGTCACAGTTAAATAAAGTAAAGTTTATTATTTTGATTTTTCAGAATTTTAAAATATTTTTTTCCTTTTTTCAGCAAATTCAGCGTCTTTCTTCAGCAGCTACTTTACTTTATAATTCACCTCATTTCCACATGCTTTTACATTTATTATTAATTGCAATTAATTTATTAAGTGGAGATTTTACTATTAAATTAATTAAAGCATTTCGTCCATCTAAATTGCAATCAATTTGTTCTTTTATTTTTCCAAATGGATTTTCTTTATTACAAATTCTTGCGAAAATTGTTGAAAAACATTATCCTGAATTGGCTAATTTTGTTAGCAACGAAAAGAGTTTGGTTATTGGAGAGGCTGCAAAAGGTGGATTTTTAAATATATTATTTTTAAAATTAAAAAAAAATTTTTTTAACTGATATGGGGATTTTTTAGTTATAAAGGTGGTTCTTGTTATTTTTAATTTTGAAATAAAGTTGAAAGATATTTTTAATTATTATTTTCTTTTCAAGTCAATTTTGCTTGTATTTCAAAAGAATTACATTTGTTAGAACGTGGGCAATCACTTGTTGAAGAAGAATTAATTTATCTTGCAGAGGAAACAACTTCTAATAATGGGTGTGGAAAAAGTCAACAGCAACAACAATTAGCTGCTTTTTCTGCTCATTTAACTACAGAAATTGTTCACTTAAAAGAGTCTATGCAAAGCTTAAAGGTAGGCAAAACCTGTTATTATTTGAGAGTTAGGATTTTGAGAAATTAATTTTAAAAGTCGGATAAATATTTTTCCAATAAATATATTAATAGATTAACATCCCTTTGGTACTTTGAAATATTCAGGATTTTTCAATCTCCTCTTAAATTTTGAATGAAAATATTTTATTTAATTATTTAATTTATGATTATTTTTTAAATATATTTTTAATTATCTAATTTTTAGAACCAATTAACTAATACATTAAACTTCTTTGGTGAAATTGAAGAGGAACAAGATTATGAAAATAATAATAAATATTCTAACAATAATTTCCAAAAATTATTCCATCCTGAACGTTTCTTTGAAGTTATTGCTAATTTTCTGGCTGATTTAAATGAAGAATTGAAAAATCAGTAAATGGTCAACAATGAATATATTTTTGTGATTATTTTAAATTTATTTGCAATTTGTTTTTTTTTTGATTTCATTCCTCTCTCCCTAATGCAATTTTCAAATATTAATTTTCGTGCAATTTAATCTATTTAATTTAAAATTTAATTTTCCCCTAAAACCTCTAATATATTTTAATTATTGCACTATTATTGTCTTTAAATTAAGCACACACACATTCCACAAAATATATTTTATTTTGATTTATTTTTTGTCGTTGAGATTCAATTATGGGCATTTATTTGAAAATAAAGATTTGGTATTTTTTAAATTTTGATATTGTAAATTTATTTTTGGTTGTTAGCTTTTCTGTCATTTATAGTCGGTTATCAGAAAATTAAATAATGTTTTTATTCATTTTGTTAATGAAAGCACTAAAAATTAATTAAAAAAGTGATTATTAAAAGTAATAAAAAAGCATTTTTAATCAAAATTTTATTTTTTTTTGCCAACATTTTTAAATTTACCCAAACAATTGAACTCGATTATTTTCCCTGTCAGCAATTGCCAACAAAATTTCCTCATTATTTTCATCATTCTGTAAACAACAAATACCCTCAACACCTTTAAATTGCCCTGGAGAAGGCCCCCAACTTCCAAACTTTTTAATAATTTTATGCCCTCCAGAATATGTAGAGTAAATTTGTACACGACTGTTTCCACTGTCCGCAACTAGAAGGTGGCCACTCTTTTAAATAAAAAATATTTTTATATTTTAAATCTGTTAAAGATTATGTGTATTATTCGGAAATAAAATATCAAAACTTTTTACCTTATCTAAAGCAATCCCTCTTGGCAATTTTAACTGTTCAGCATCATCTTCACTCCCTTGAAATTGAAAGACAGGTAATCCATCTGGAGAATAAATACATAATCTATTGTTGGCAGAATCTGATACGTAAAGAAGGCGTTGATTTGGATCAAACATTAAATATAAAGCTAAAAAATTAATATAATTATAAATTAATTCTCTTTCTTTTTCGAATTAAAACCCGAATTTGATTTTTATAAGTCACGCGAATAGACCTCGCGTTTATATGGGATTTCGACTTAGGGTATGTTAGTAATCTAAGTCACGCGAATAGACTTCGCGTTTATATGGGATTTCGACTTAGGGTAGGTTAGTAATCTAAGTCACGCGAATAGACTTCGCGTTTATATGGGATTAGAAATAGTCTTTGTTTTCAGTCTTTATTTTTCCTTGTAAAGTTTTTGGCAACATTTTGTAATAAACGTGTTAATACTTTCTTATCATATTTATATTTTTTATTAAAAAATTCTAACGATGATCTAATTGTTTAGGGCCATCACCCTCAGACCCAAAACGTGATAGGAATGTTCCGTCTTCGTTAAACATTTGTACACGATGATTATCCTTATCTGCCACATACACAACACCTAAATGTTCATCAATTGCAATACCCCAACAATGTTGAAATTGTAAAGGTCCAGAACCTCTAACCCCAAATTTTCGGAGAAAACTTTAAAATAAAAATGTTTTTTTAAATTTAATTATGAATTCCTCTACCGGCCTTTGAGGTCAAAAACTTGAACTCTAAAAATTATTTACAAATAAACATTCCTATAATATGTACCTATGGTTATAGCGATCTGCAACAAAAAGTTCTTTACGTTTGTGATGAACACAGACAGAACAACAACCTTTAATAAACTTTGAATATTAAAATGGGGTTATTAAAAAATGCAGTTAAAAAAATGTCAGCTCTCACTATCTCAATATCCATTAATGACACTTATTAATGTTATTTCCGTCTATAACCAATATTAAATTTTACCATCAAATTGCCCATCTTCCTTCCCAAAACTTCCAAATGAACGTATCAAAAGTCCATCAGTAGAACTAAAAAGTTGAATTCGATGATTACTGCTATCTGCTACAGCCAGAATTGTTCCAAAATCATCTTCTTCCTCAAAAAGTTCCCTTGGGACAGCACACAAACCTCTGGGCCAATTTAACCTTTTAAAATTATTTTTAGTTTTTTTAATATTCGGAAAAAACAAACAGTCCTAAAGCTCCTCTTCCGCCCAAAATTAATTTTGGTCTAGGCCTTAAACGTGTATAAAAATCTTCTTCTTCATTAACATTTTTGTTTATTTTATTTTTGTTCTCCAAATTCCTGTTTCCAGAATTATCAAAACGAGATGGCTAAAATAATTTTAATTTTTTAAAAACAAATCTTTATTTATTTTTTACTCGTAATTGAGAATTTCCCAAAAGTTCAGCTTTTTTTGAAAGAGAAATAAATTTTGGTGCAATTCCATTACTAAATAATTGTGGATTAGATCGAGAACGGCTTAAAAGAAGTCCACAACGTTGTTGCTCCGATATCCATTCTCCTGTGCTTTTTGTTGGGAAGAAAGCCAACAAATTAAAGAAAGAATAAATTAAATTATTTAGTTAAATTTTTATTTTAAAATTTTGGAAAAAAATCAAAATTTCATTTAAAAATATCAAAATTTCCTATTAAACATATCAGACTTTTAATAGCAACCATAAAACTTTAAATCAAAAGCTTCCCAGGTTTACTTTCGAAACAGACTTGCCAAAAATAGAAAATATTCAAAAAGATGTCCAGTAACAATTAGCAATAACAATCCACAATTACCGGATTTATTCAATAGAACTACAGTCTCTATTAGAACCACCCCTCTCGGATGGGTTGAAAAATAGAACCACCGGTGGTTCTATTAGAATAAATCCGGTATATTAAACTCAAATAAATCAAAATTCAAAATAAACAAATCAGATCTTTTATTAAAACAGTTTTTACACTCCTAGCAGAATCTCAACTCTAAAGTTAAAATACTTTGTTAACTTAATGTTATGTAATAAATCTTTCTAATTTTAGCAAACAACCAACCACAGGAATAGACTGCCCACCTTCTTCAATAGATGGACGACGAGTTTGGGAGGATGCTGGTCTTCCATGAGATGAAGAACGGCAATGTATTCTTCCTCCCTTTAATTTTTTTATAAGGAATTTTTTGTCAAAAAATTTCTTTAATTTTTTATCGTTTTATTTATTTTTAACAAACAAACAAAAATTCAATCCTTTATTTATTCAAAAATTTAATAATACAAAAAATACGAAAATTTGGATTTCTTATTTTACAAACAAATTTAAATATTTCAGAAAAAATATATTTGCAAAAATTAATAAAAAAAATTAGTATTTATTTATAATTATTTTCTCAAAAATAATAATGGGGAAAAAGAATTATATTTTTGTTTGTTTGTCATATAAATATGTATATAAACGATATTTACAATTTGTTTGTATAATAAGTTTATTTTTAAAAGTTCACTGGGTAAAGAATGAAGAATAATATGTAAAACAAAAATATTATAAAATCTCTAATCTTTAAAAGGTTATTGAAGAATATAGTAAAGCGGTTGGTCCCGTTCCCCAGTGCCTTGTTGTGAAATAGATGTTATAAGCAGAGACGCGCATGTTGCAATCATGTGTGAACTCCGCAGAGTATAGAAAATAGGTAATCGCTCGCAGTGGGGGAATATAGGGAGACGTCTTCCCTACAAGGATGGATTGGCCGGCCGGCAACTCTGTTGAATGAATGAAGAAGTGATCCGCCTTTGCCTATTCCATTAGAGCTTATATGCACCAGCTTACTTCCCTATTGCTTTCCCAAGGATAAGTTAATGGCGATAATAAGCTTAGATAATGGGCGGCTAATAACTCTCTGGGAATGGCCGTTTGTGGCGTTCTTTGCCTTTTCTCTGGGAACTTCCGTTACTTAGCGCAAAGTTTAGAGCGACATTATTGTTCACGTGATTTCAGGATGATATCCGCCTTACACCTCTAACCTTCCAATAGACCGTCCCTGGTCGTTAAGATTTGACCATCCTCTACACCTCTAACCTTCCAATGGACCGTCCCTGGTCCACTTTTTGTTTTGTTTTATATTACTTGAATGAATCCCTCAGGATTTAATTTCTTTGTAGGATTAATTAATTACTTAATTACTCATTCGTTTTTGTTGTTCCAAGGGTTTCAAAATTTCGAATTTTGAAATTAAAAATCTAATATATGATTTTCACATTTAACGTATATAAAAATACATGATCCTTAAGCCAAAATGAAATAGATCCTCTAGGCCACCTCAGTGGTTTGTTGTTAGTTCGTTAATTTTGCTGACAAGGTTGTTTAATATTTCACCTTGTTCTTTAAGCATTTGTTTGATGATGAATTGTTCTTCGACAACTTCTTCTAGACTTGGATTTTCTTCTTGGTTCTGTCGTTTTCTACAATTTATCTCGAAATGGCCTACCTTGTCACAGTAGTTACATATTGGTTGGTTGCCCCATCAGCGGTAATTATGAGTTGTTTCACTTTTTAATTTGCGCGTACCCCACAGGGTTTTATGATGTAAGTCATCAGTGAAATCTTCATTGTTTATTGATACATTGCATGATGTGCCTTGACGTTTATTTGGCATATCGGGTTCAATGTAGGTTTCGGGTTTTCATATAGCATTAGCTCGGCCTCTTGAGCATTTAGAAGTAGTGTGTCAAAATTCTTTCTGTTAGGCCCAGTCAGTGTCCTCGTGAGAAATTGAAGATCTGGGCTAAGCTTTTCAAGGAAAGTTCTGCAAAGCGTTTCTTCCAAAACATTACCTTTGTGGTCTATAGAAGTTGCTTCTATCATAGGAATTAATCTGGAAGCAAATTGTTCTACTGATTCTCCTTCATTCTGTTTGTATATGCTTAAAGCTTTGAAGATTAGTTCACGATTTTGTGTTGTATCTAAATTTTCTTTTATTTTGTTAATGGCTCCCTCGAGAGTTGCTTTTTCGGCTTGAGGTATTTTGTCAAATATTTTTCTTGCCTTCCCGTCTAAGCATACTTTGAGACGGGCGATTTTGTCTGTTTCATCCCACTTACCATTGCATTCGATTATGTCCTTGAATTTCCTTGCCCAGCGTATAAACTCAATTACCGAGTTGCCCGAAAAATTGTGAATGTTGGAGAATTCTCTGTTGAGAGCATATTAATATAATGGAATCCCTCAGGATTTTTATAAAATTCGTTTGTGACTCCCTCAGGAGTTTTGATTGTGTTATTGTTTTTTAAAGAATGTGAGGATCTTTCCTCATAGGGAAGAAAAGACATTGAATTAGACGAGATTGATTTAATAATAAAAAAAATTTTAAAACCTGAAAAATAAAAATAAATAATATACCCCAGTGACTTACCCCAGTGACTAATCTTTTATTTTAGAAGTGAGTTTAGAGAGTCTTTGTAAAAGTAATATGATTATTTACTATCTGGGAATTTTTTACATTAAAATGAGAAGGAAGAAAATATTATTGAAAAATTGACTTCCGATCACTGAGAAAAGACTAATGTAGCTTATAGTAATAATTCCTGTGGGAAACATTAATGAAATAATAGAAAAATAAAAAAAAATACTTTTTTGAAAATGTGTAATAAAGTAGATTTTTTTATGGACTTTGTTCTAGAAAAATTAAAATTTCCCTAAATATTTTTTGTATATTTTCGATTTTGGGAAAAGGATGCTTTGCTCGAGATCAGATGAGGGGAATTTTGAAATATGCTATGATTTTTTTAGAGAGAGAATGTTTTTGCAATAGTTTGTTTGGACCCGAAAAAATGAGTTTATTCTCATAAGAAATATTTCAATTAATAAGTGTGAGATGGGGATTTAGTGATTATTAAATGTTATACCATTTTCCTTTCTGTAATTAGTTTTTAAAATTTATTTTTTGAAACCCACAGGTTATGAAAGAATCTGGTCACTCGATTATTGTAGAAGTCCTTGAAACTCCAGTCCAATTTTTGTCCTATACTATATAAATGGTTAATTTTCAGATATTTTTTGCCTATTGCTTTTTGATTTGTTCTATGTAATAAGAATTTCCGTAAACAGAAATTAATCATACTGAATAAAATTAAACCACAAAATTGGAAAATTTATAGTTTGAAATGATTTTGGATATTTAATAAACAAAAATTCTTGATGGATGATCTTTGGTTAGAATTAAAACCAAAAATAAAAACAAGGCTTTAAAATTCTAGTTTCTAATTTGGCTTAAAAATTGCTCCTAATCTCTTTATATTTTGTGTGGCCTCCGCAGAGGTTATGGCTTTTCTTTATTGATATTTAATAATTAATTTATTATGCGAGCTAGAATTATTTTTCCCTTTTACTTTTAATAAGCCTTTCTTGTAAGGTGAAGGTTCAGACACTTTAAAACTTATACATATGAGTTACTATTAAATTCATTGCTCAAAAAATTAGAAAGTGAAATTAGAAAGTTGTTTAAAAGATAAAGCACAAGAAAGATTAAAAAGTATTATCAAAATTTTCGCTTTTTCCCATAAATTAAAAAAAAAATTTTTTTGGGACTTAGAAATCGAATATCGAAACCAAAAGCTTTTTTTGTTTTGTTTCTTATATTCTTTCAATTTTTCTTTTGAAATTTTCAAAAATAAAATTTTTGAGAAAGATCTAGATTCTAACTCGGGTTCCCAGATAATTTATAAATCATTTGTTCATTTGTTTCGCAAAAAAAAATTTGAAAGCGGCTCTAAGTTATGAAATTAAAATCAGGAATTGAAGACGGGGAAACTAAAAGCTATAAAAAATTTTCCTTCAATTTGTCTTAAATTCCATTTTAAAAGTATTTATGAAAACAAATTTTGTATGTTTTTTTAGCCTCCCAGAGGTTATGTTTTTTGTGATACACCTACGTGACTAATTGAGCAGATTAAACAGTATACATGATTAGGTTTTCTTGAAGAATAAAGGGGAATATTATCATGGTTGATTCAATTATCATGTTCAATCTAGCACGAAGAGATTATACTTTCTTATTAAAAATACAATCTAACATTCCCAACTAAAAACTAAGGAAAAACTAGCTATAATATAAGAAAAAATTACAATCTAGGAACTTGAAACTCCAGTAATTGAATCAAGAAAGGTTCAATTGAAGAAAAAAAGAAAAGGAATTTATACATAACACGCAGGTTAGAATTAACACCGGAAAATGAGAGCGATAACATACAATTTTAGCTTTTGATTTACTTAAATTATAAGTCTTTTTTGTATTTTAATGGCCTCCGCAGAGGTTTATTATGTTTCCTTTGATAGCTAGTTAATAATCAATTCATTAAGCGTGCTAGAATTATATAAACTCCTTTCTTTTTTTGGCTTTTTTTGAATAGGAAAGGAATATAGTTAAAATTTTAACGGCTCAATCTATAGTCAAAAATCTAAAGTCAAAAAAAATTTTACTTAAGAAGGAAGATAGTAAAACATTTTTAATTGGATTTTTTTACCTTTCTTCGTTTCGGGAAATTAAAGTACTTTAAAATACCAGATTTTTTTTAGTTTTACAAATAATTTTGGAAACAAATTCTCAGATCAATCTCAGAACCAAAAAATATTCTTTAAGGATTAAAATTTCATAAGGAAATGTAAGAAAAATCACCATGAAAAGAGTTGAAAGAACAGATTATGTAATATAAACAATTTTATTTGTACATTTTTTTGTAAAGGAAAATTACTTCTTGAATGAATGCTTCTATTATATTTAGAAATAATTTCCATGTGAAACGCATTTTTTTGTTATAAAGTGTGAAGGATAAGTGAGACAGATTAAAAAATTACATGATGAGAACGAAAAAATAGTGTAATAAAAGACATGTATGAACGCCGCAGCGCTTGTTTATTCTAATATGAGATTATTTACCAGAATTTAAATTTAAATCTGAGTGCTTTAAGTATCAATAAACCCTGAGGGGTTCTCAAACATAAATCTAATAGCAGATAAAGACTAATAGTAACCCCGTGGGAAATATTTGATTTACGATTTGAACTAAAAGTAAGGAAGAATTCGTTTTCTCCAACATTGAAAAGGAAAATTATCTGTTTGATGAAAAAAATTATCATTTGATGAAAAATGAATCATTTGATGAAAAATAAATTTAATATAATTGGCCTCCTCAGAGGGTAAATCACTTTTAAAGATAACATAATTTTACCTTATATTCTTGCATAAAACGAACATTTTTCAGAAATTAGATTCATTACTTTATTTATTTAAGAAGAACAAATTTCATAATCAAAATAATGGAAAAAGTAGAAAGTTTTCCCGTAGTGTGTCGGGAAACATAGTTCATATTTTTTGTACCCCGCGGGGATAAAATAAAATCAGTTAAAAATAACGGAAGTGGAATAGATGAGAGAATTAAATTGTAATGTGAATATAGATAGAAAGATTACACTAAAAGAACATTTGTATAAAGGACTTTGTGCTTGTGAAAGTAAAATGTAAAAAATTTTCAAAGATAGATAACAAAATGCGTGAGGAACAAAAAAAAATTGTTTTGATAAGTTTTTAGAGATATTGCTAGGCCTTTCAGTGATTTAGTTTTTTATAACTAAATTATTACGATTTTTAGATTGGAGTTTTCAGCCCCTAGAGTATGTTTCAAGTAATGAATGATAGTTGTTTTTTGTTGATTGTTTAGATAATTTTACATACATGTACCCCGCGGGGTTTTAATGAAAGTAAAAGGGAAATCAATATGGTAAAGATTTTTGTTTAAAAGAATAATTGGATATACTTTAGCCGGTGGCCGGTTCGAAACCGATTCGAAATATATACCATTCGATTCGTCTCAGCGAGCTGAGTCGAATGGTACCACTCTCCAGGCGCGGAAATGCCTGTGGACCGAGATATAGGTCCGCGAAAATCGAAAAACCAAAGGGGGGAGTAAGCTTAAATTAGGGGTGAAAAAATCGATTTTTTGAATGATAGCTCATTCGAAAGAGCTCGACGAGCTGAGTCGAATGACACCAAAATCACCGTGATCGAACAAGATTAGACAAAGTTATGACACAAAAAACAAAAACTTAAACCTATGGAGCGTCGGCGAGGCGCTTGTGCAAAACCCCGCGCTTCGCGCGGGGTTTTGCGGCACGCGCCTCGCGGGGAGTCTACGGGCGCTGGGTCTGGGCTCGTAACATAAACCTATTCCTATCTCCCTTGTTCTGGACGTATTTGGGGCCTCCGTAGCAGCAAAAATCTCCACAGATGCCATAGGTAAGGAGCTAAAATAAAAGATCATAACTTTGTCCAATCAAGTCGGATTTCGTTGATTTTGGTGTCATTTGACTTAGCTCGAGGAGCTCTTTCGAATGAGGTATCATTTGTATAATCGAATTTTTGACCCCAAAAATCAGCTTGGTCCCCCCTATGGTTTTTCGATTTTCAAGAGCCCGTATCTCGGTCCACAGGCGTTTCCGCACCCTGGGAGTAGTACCATTCGACTCAACTCGCCGAGACGAATCGAATGGTATATATTTCGAATCGGTTTCGAACCGGCCACCGGCTAAAGTACAGCCGAATAATTTATAAAGGAAATTTTTTTAACACAATTTTTTAGAGCAAAATTATTTTAAAATATGTATTGAAGTTTCTTTTGAAAAGAAAAAAAACTTTTTTTTTAACATTTTGAAAACAGAATAAAATTCATAAATTGATGAACCCCTCAGGGTTTATATATTTTTAAAGAAGTGAATTAAAGAATGTAGAATAAAAATCAGTTTGCAAAAAAAAATGAGATTTTACTAAGAAACGTTGTAATAAAGTAATTAAAAACCAATTCAACTATTTTAAATAAATTCTCTTAGCAATATTTTATTTTATTTTTCTAGGTATGAAAAATTCTTTTCTGTAAATTTTTTTAATTTTTACAATTTTTGAAAAAAATATTATTTACAAAAATTCGAATCGAATTCATGAAATTTCTGAACTTTACCTACAAGAAGTTGAAAATTTTGAAAACAATAATTTCCATTTCGAAAAGATCATTTGCATTAATAATAAATTTTGAATATCCCGCGGGATGAAGAGCAAGTTTATTTGAAGTTGTCAAATATGTAGTATTCATTGAATTTGCTGACATTCTTGAGATGATCAGTCACAATAGATTAATAAAAAACATTCAAAAAATAATAAAGTTCAATGAAAAAATGTTCATAAAGAAAAAATAGAGAATGCCGCAGCATTTTTTTAACATTTGCTAACATTTAACACAGAGGTGTTATGATATATCGGGATTTCTTACTAGAGGCTATTTTTTTATTTCTCCCTAAAATAATTTATTTGGATGGCCTCCTCGGAGGGTTAAATATTTTCATTAAATTCTATAATCTTT